ATATTTGTTTCAATAAAAAAATAAATATTTTATCTGATCATTTTTTTCTTACTTTCCTGGCTCTGTTATATATAACAGAGGGAAAGTATGGCAATCAGTTAAAAAATGATCCCCCGAGATTTTTACATTTTTGAACTTTTCCCAAGTTCAAAAATCTTCAAATATCTAGAAATGCAAAAAAATTTAGTTTTTTTTTCTATATGTATGTATGTATGTATGGATGGATGGATGGTTGTGTTGTGTGTGGGCACAATTTTGTTCACCCTGTTTGAAGCTTAATAACGTCTGTTGATTTTTGTCAAAAATTTATGAAATTTTGCAGGAAGGTGTGTGTATTATGGGGATTGATGCTATTAAATTTTGGAGGTTAAAGGTCAATGGGGTGGGGAGATAGAAGGGGGTCATATGTCATATCTCAAGTAGGGTTAGACTTAATGACAATTTTACTTGTTATTAGCATTTACAATTTTTTATAAAACTCATCCCTACCCTTAAAATTAAGCTTTTTGCCATCTTATAATAATTAAAAGTATAAAAAGTTTTTTTAATAAAATATCATAACAGATGATAAAACACAGTTTTAAATATTCACAAGAATGTTAGACAACTCATTGCTGGATTTTTGTTTTATTTGAATTATACTTCTAACATTTATCTTCATATATTTCAACTTCTTCATCAGATTTCATAAAATCAAAGCTTCTTAGAATGTCATCAAAAATCTTTTATTATCATTGAATTTTAAAAATTTCAAAAAATATATGAGTATGAAGTTAAAATGATTTTGAGACATTTGTTTGTAATAAAAATAATTTCTAAAATCTGCTTCTAAATAAGAATATTTAATGTATCTATTTTACATTGTTCTTAATTTATCTATTATTTTAATTAAAATTAAATACATCTGTAAAATGTAAGGAGTACTTCATTAAAAATGCTATTTATGAATTTGATTTTTGAAGTATTAAATCAAAATTCAGAATAGATAACATAGATTTTTCATGATAATTTATACATATTGATAGAAAATATGAAGAGTAAATTAAATTTATATACGAAATAAAATTGTTAGCTTCTGTAAATTTTTTATATTTTTTCACAAATATAATTTCACATTAATATTTTTTATTTTATGCTAAATTTNTTTGAGTGTAATAATTTGGCCATGCACTGTATGTTTTTTGGACTGTTTTCTGGATAATTTTGGTGTTTGTTGTGTTAGCCCTAGCAGCAACACCAGCATAGGAGGAGGTCAGTAAGCTAGTTGGAATAGAGTTTTTTGCAATTCCAATATTTTGTTGACTTTGCTATCAATGAGAGAGCTGACCTTCTCGGAAACCTGCTGTTGAATATGACAGACACTATCAGCTAGGAATTTCGAAACTGCTTTGCTAATTAAACTATTCAACATACCAACATCGTTGTTGGGACGATGAACCAATGCTCGGATTGTCTCGTCTGCTAGCAAGAAAAGATCATTTGCAGCTTCACAAATTTTTGTTCTGTTCTCTTTCCAAACAGCAGAGCTACATTCTTCTGGACAGTTTTCCAAAATAATGTCTAAAAGCTTAATGTTCTTTGTTTTATAAAAAGATAATTGTTTTCAAAACATTGGCTGAAGACTCTCCATTGATTGGCTTATTCTAGAAAGGAGAATGCAGCTTTCTTTGAAGCACTTGTCTTTCTATCTAAAAGATTGCTGGTGTTGGTTCTTAACCCCTCAAGAGCAGTCTCTTGAATGTATAAGTTATATGTATGAACCATATAGAAATTAGAAGAAAGCACTGTTACTTCAAGAGGAACAAATTGACTGTTTATCACATAAATAGTTTAATAGAATTGGAAGATTTCAGAAAAATTAATGAAAGCAAATGTTGCCTATTGATGTATAGTTAAGTTCTGAAAAGAAGTAGGTGATCAAGGAAAACTAGAAAAACCCTATGGCAATGATACATACTTAAATAAAAGCATTTTTTTTTAATTTAACAAATTTTTTGTTAATTTATTAGTTTAGTGTTTCATGACAACTTATACAAAATGCTTGTTTAATTATTTGTATAATGTAGTTTGAATTTATGAAATTATGAGTGCTGAAAAGTTTGCAACTTACTAGAAGAAAAAAGAAATTTGATAAATTGAATATATTTTATTCAGCATAATCATCTCAGCTCTATATGCTTATTACAACTTTTTTCTAATTTTTTTAAACCCTGGAAACTAACCCTCTGCACACCCAATGATCCCTTGACCAGAAGAAAATCTTTTGGTGTTTCTTTAAAGCTGTGAAGAGATGATAATCTGAGGTGATGAGATCCAGTGAATAAGTGTGTGATCTAATAGTAAGAACACCAAATTCTTCATTTTTTGGATTGTTTAGAAGGCTATGTGAGCAGGGCATTGTCTTGCAGAAATAGCCTGCCTTGATTCAACTTCTGTACCATTTTTCCTTCAAAACTTCTCATTGTTCATCTAATAGAGACATATAATAAGTGATGTCGATTATCTGGTCCTTTGACAAATACTTTACTAAAATGGCATTGTTCTTGTTCCAGAACACAGAAACCATGGTTTTTCTAGCCAATTTTTGGACATGAAACTTCTTTAATCAGGGAGACCCTCTATGACACCATTCTTTTTTTCTTCATCTCAGGATTACAGTGAAGAATCCTTGTTTCATCTATATCACTAATTGAGTCACAAAATTCTCAGAATTACAGTTGAATCATACCCAAAATGGTTTTGAAAGCAATTATGCAATTTTGCTTCTGGTCTGCATTGGAAAGTTTTGGAATCCATTTTGTAGAAATCTTCTACATGTCAAGAATATAATTTGCAGAAATTATTTGCATTAAGCAAGATTTCAGTATTCATCTTGACTGAAATGTGTTGCTCTTTAATGATAAGTTCATGGATTTCATCCACATTATCATCTGTTGTGGCTGTTCAGAGAATGACTCATCTACTATCTTGAAGTGGCCAGCTTGGAAATTAACGGCACACTTTTTTTTTACCATTGAGGGATGGGAAATCCTATTGCAGGGTTGCCATCATCTCATAGTGAAGCTCCTGCAAGATAGGAGTGCTCCTGCACTTTTTTCATGCAGGAGCAAGAACTTTAAGACCATATGCTTCTCAATGTTTCTGAATTTCAGTCTTAGTACAGCCATTATGAATTCAAATTGTTGAAGTAAGTAAATTAATAGTTATAGTGGCTCTTATGATGCATGTGTTCTAGCAATGACTTTTCTCTATTATTCTCATACCATGGATTTTGCTCTCTTGTATGTGAGTGATGATGCAAATTTTTCAGCATCTGGCACTTAATAAAAATTGTTAATACATTCATAAAATGTTTTATTTTGTGTGCTATTCTGCAATAATTTTCAAAGTAATTTTGGATCTTGAAAATATTCTGCACCTCTGGGTGTACAGTCAACCCCCCCATAACACGGTAGATACGTTCCATTCTTTATGAATCAGTTTTGTACAAGTCCTTGCCAATTACAGCCCGACACGTGTGAAGTTTATAAACTATGGCTGTTTGAAAGGTTTTCTTCCATAAAATTAATCAATTCTAGACTAATTTAACTCAACATTTCCAAAATATGTATAATTTTTTTGGGAATAATCCATATAAACTATGCTATAAACAAAAAATTGTAGGATTACTTACTAAGTGTGCACCGTTCGACATCACCATTGCTCAAGCTTATTTTCGTCACAGAGCAGTGCACCAAACGGCGGGCGACTTCTGATAAGTTATTTTTCTGCGAAAACTTCGTTGAACTTTGGAGACATCATTAATATAAATAATTTTTATGGCTGTTGAATAAGAAATGTTTCTTTCACAAGAAATGTATAAAATTAGTGCTGTATTAGACTTACGGTACCTAATTTACATACTGTACAGATGCTAGTAAACTGAACTTACTCGCCTAAACTCTCCGTAGCTTGGCACTGGACGGCAGAAAGTAGTTTGGCTGCCCGATGACGTTTTACAGAATTATAGGAGTTTTTTTACCATGTTTGTATGGATACCGTCGCAATTTTTTCGCTGTCATATAGGAATCCGTGTTATACGGGGGTCGACTGTATATTAAATTATTCAAACTTCAAGACACCATTAAAAATAAAAATTGCATTATAGTGAACATTTTTTTTTAGTTAACTGTATAAGTTGGCGACCCCACAGAAAGCCCGTTGCGACNAGCGTGGCGCTGGATGGCGGAAAGTAGTTCGGCTGCCTGATGACATTTTATTAAATTATAGGAGTTTTTTTACCAGGTTTGTACGGACACCATCACAATTTTTTCACCGTCTTATAGGAATCGTAATTATAGGAACCTGTGTTATAGAGGGTCTACTGTACATAAAACAGAACACACAATTCAACAGATGTCTGTATCTTTTTTAACTGTAGTCTTATATCAAGATAGTGAGCTTTCTTATAGCTTTAATTTCAATAGACATATATATGTCTGTATATATATAATTGATATATATATATATATACAGTGTAATTGTATATATAATATATAATTTCAAGTGTAATTGATATATACTTGAAATAAAACAAAATTAAGGGCTAAAAGCAATAGATTATTCCTTACAGCACTCTTGCTTCATTTATTAATTTAAAGATAAGTCTAAATTTCCTAAGATATATAACTTTTGAAAATATATAACTTAGGTCTCTATATAAATAAAATATTATCAATTTACTTCATATAATAAAATATTTCACTTTGGAACAAAGGTCAAAAGTATCTGTTCATTTTCTAGTCACTAGTTCATATACTAGCCCAACCATGGGCTACCTATTGTCTGTGGTGTATCAATTAGCTTTCTTGTAAACAAATATATTAAAAAAGGACGATTTGAAATACAGTTTTTAACTAGAAAAAACTTATCCAGCATTTACAAAAAAATGAATATAAATTTCATATGTTTTTTGCATGACCTGAATACCTCTTACATAACATAAAATAGGTAATTTATAGTTACTAATAATTGAAAGTATTTATTTATTAAACCATAATTGTAATTTAGATCTGGAGGGAGGACGCTTCTTCTTTAATGCTGTAAAGGAAGGTGACAGTGTGTTGTTTGCTAGTGAAGATGAAAATGAGTGTCACCTCTGGGTCATGGCAATGTATCGAGCAACAGGACAATCTCATAAACCAACTCCACTTGTTCAACCTTTGGCTAGTAAGAATTCAACCATTTCTCGATTACAAGGAGGTGAGTTCTAAATAACCAACAATCTAATACTTTAAAATTTGAATGATATTGTAAATATGTAAATTCAAATTTTTATAGGCTGTATATTTTTTAATATATATATCAAAAACTTCAATTAATAGATGAGTCAATTTACAATAACAAAAGTTTGAGATATATATATTAAATATTATTTTCCTTAATTTTAATTCTACATAAAACACAAAATTTATAATTAATTATTACTAAATATATTGTAAAGTTAAATCATATTGAAAATATGTATTGTACTTTCTGTCTCATAAGATTCATTTTTTTTCCTGAAATCTGCCTTAGAAAGTTTATCTTGCATCTAATAAGATGATAGTATGATTAGGATAAGTCTAGAATTACAATTACTATTACTACACAAAAATTCAAATTTCCTAATTTTGACATAGTAGTCTCTAGATAATCCAGAATGAATTACATGAGCTTAAATTATTACATAAATAAGCAAAAAGTAATACTTATATCTAGCATTATGACTATCAGCCTAAAGCCAACTATTGAATATGCTCATCTTGTTTGTTTTCCATCATTAGTGTAGTCAATCTAGTTATTTACATTAAGCCTGTGCACACATGGTTTTGTGACTTTAATCCCCATTTGAGGAGAATTTTTTAAAAATTTAAAAAAAAAAAAAAACAAAAATACAAAAGAAAACCCAATTCATTAAATTTTATTAACAATGTTATAAGATAGAAAAAAATAGAAGAGAGTTAAAAGTTTGAGAAAATATAAGAATGAATGAATTATTTTGTGAAGGTTCAAAAATGTTTTACTACTGAAGAGATTTAATGGAAAGTAATGGAAGATTAACAAAAGAATGTAGTAGAAATTTTTTAAATGTTTCATAAGGATATATATAAACAGTATTTTTGTGAATAGAGAGCTGTTTTACAGTTAGAAATCATTAAGCTAAGAAGTGAAATAGTGACTTAAATAAAGCAGTGTTCTTCAACCTTAGGTCTACAGACTGGTACTGGTGTGCAGAAATTTCCTGCCAGTTCATGAAAAATTTCATAGACTGCCCTAATTACTATGTTTTCTTTAGCCTAAAATACTGATTATAATCTTTCTTTTTTAAATTGAAATTCAAACGAATTATACATATACAGTGGGTGATTGGTTAATGAACAGTTCAGATAGCGAACAAATTGGATAACGAACACTTTCGTGAAAGATTTTTATGATTGAACAATGAACACTTTACTGAACAAACATAAAAAGAAGCAATGGAAATTAATGAATACGATTTATTTTCCCTTGTCTTCAGGTAACAATTCGAAACCTTTCAGAGCACAGGAGACATCAATGTCGACTCTCAACCCGATACCGATCGGATAGTATCCATCCGAACTTTGAAACTCTCCCTTGTAATTCCAGCTTTTTGTTTACCTTTCTGACAAATAATTTTTTATAATCTTTGCAAGACTGTCAAACAGGTACTCATTAAGTTTTGCATTGGGATTTATTTATGAAAGGTGAAAGTTTAATTGTCCCATCGGATATTCATTAACATTTTAATATAAAATTTTGAATTTTATCTGGGCCTTGCATTTAAATGATTTTTTGTGGGCTAGTTGATTTCTGTTCTCTGAATTCTTGTACGTGCTTTTCTGAACTCTTTATTTAAAAAAGAAACTGATAATATTATGGAGCCTAAAAAGAGGAGTGTCAAGAACTGTGCTCATCATAGAAACCAAGTAAGAGATAATAGCCAAGATAGAAAGTGGGCACAAGATGTCTGATGTTGCTAGGCAGTATGGCTCGAACAGGTCTACAATAGACACAATCTTAGCTATGGAAGATATATCAAGAAATCTCAAGCTGCTAATGGAGTAATGAAAATCACATCTGAGAAATAAAGAGCATTTTAACGCTCATAATGGAAACTGAAACTGATCTGACGACAGAAGAACTCCAGGGATGTCAAAACAATGATCATCCAAGTGGCATCCAAACCAGAATAAGGTTAATGGGATTAGAGATCTCTACAATTACAATACTATTAATTACTTCCAAAAAATCCTGAAGAAAAGAGAAAAGCGATCGACGATGGGCAGATTCTTTAACCCCCACAAACGGAAAAAACATGACTAATAAAAATGCAAGACTGCGTATATACATATTTTTACTATTACATATAAATAAACGTAGTAAAAAAGTATATATTTTTTATTTTTGGAGTCTTCGGAACAAATTAAGTCGATGCTTCTTGGCCCAGGCCAGACATTTGGCCTTCACGGCAGGAGTGAGTTTTGGTTTTTTTAGTGGTCGACAACATTTCAGTCCCATCTCTACAAATCTTTGCCTGAGAGTCCACTCCGATATTTCTACTCTGTTATCATTAAAAAGTTTTTTATGACAAGCCAAGGCTTTTGACGGTTTTCAAGTGTAATGCGACGTATTTCTCGCTCAGTTCGAGGTGTTGTAATGCGTTTTCGACTGCATTTACCAACTCAATCCGCCTTGATCGGTATTTCAGCATTCACTTCTTGCTTGATATTATACACACTGGACTGTGATACATCACACAAATCAGCAATCTGACACTGGTTATATTGACAATGCCGTAACATTGTCAAAATCCATGCTTTTTTCCTTGGTGCACACTTCCCAATATTTGTTAATGAACATTTTTAGGTTAGGTCGGTCGACAACCCCAAAAAAGAAAAAACTAACTAAAACATGACCCCAATGTATTGATCCAGTATTAGAATAATCCTAAATGTAAAAAATCCAACACTTACCGAATAATAAGTCAATAACGCTGAAGCCAAGATTTTATACTTGCTTACTGGAGAATTCAACTTAAAAATAAAAAACCATTTAACTATCCAGCATAATTCTTTAATAACATAAAAAATTTTTTTTGTTTGCCAAGATTTTTTTTGAAGACTTCTCACAAGCCAGCACAGTAAAATTTTTGACATGCACTGTCACTAGCAGCTGCCATTTACAAAAAAAAAAAACATTTGTGTGTTGCCACACTAATGAAAGGGTTGCCAGATATAGTGGCTAATCAGTAAATTATAAAACAATAACATTCTTCCAATAATAAATTGATTACAGCCACCACTTTCACAGATAGTGACAAATTTTTATTTGAGTGTAATAATTTGGCCATGCACTGTATGTTTTTTGGACTGTTTTCTGGATAATTTTGGTGTTTGTTGTGTTAGCCCTAGCAGCAACACCAGCATAGGAGGAGGTCAGTAAGCTAGTTGGAATAGAGTTTTTTGCAATTCCAATATTTTGTTGACTTTGCTATCAATGAGAGAGCTGACCTTCTCGGAAACCTGCTGTTGAATATGACAGACACTATCAGCTAGGAATTTCGAAACTGCTTTGCTAATTAAACTATTCAACATACCAACATCGTTGTTGGGACGATGAACCAATGCTCGGATTGTCTCGTCTGCTAGCAAGAAAAGATCATTTGCAGCTTCACAAATTTTTGTTCTGTTCTCTTTCCAAACAGCAGAGCTACATTCTTCTGGACAGTTTTCCAAAATAATGTCTAAAAGCTTAATGTTCTTTGTTTTATAAAAAGATAATTGTTTTCAAAACATTGGCTGAAGACTCTCCATTGATTGGCTTATTCTAGAAAGGAGAATGCAGCTTTCTTTGAAGCACTTGTCTTTCTATCTAAAAGATTGCTGGTGTTGGTTCTTAACCCCTCAAGAGCAGTCTCTTGAATGTATAAGTTATATGTATGAACCATATAGAAATTAGAAGAAAGCACTGTTACTTCAAGAGGAACAAATTGACTGTTTATCACATAAATAGTTTAATAGAATTGGAAGATTTCAGAAAAATTAATGAAAGCAAATGTTGCCTATTGATGTATAGTTAAGTTCTGAAAAGAAGTAGGTGATCAAGGAAAAGTAGAAAAACCCATGGCCATTATATAAATGAAAAAACTTTGTGACAGCAATCAGGGGCTAATCCCAAGGGAGCCACAAATTCTATTATGAACAAACAACAGAAAATGAATTACTTCAAGCCTATTCTGCAAACATAAAAGAAACTAATGAATGATATATGTGTATTGTTTCATGCAACTTTGTCATATGCTTACCAAAACTTGGCTTTGAAAGCAAGGAGTGTTTCTTGTTTTCAAGGCCAAGTAAGCCCTGATTGCAATCATTGCCATCTTGTAGGAGTGTTGATTCTATGTTGAATCAGTTTGAAGCTTTTTGCATAATGTATGATGTCCTTTTTTATAGCTTGTGCTTCCTCTGTTTTTATAGTCTGCAGATGCCACTGACAGTAAGATGTAGTCTTGAGAGGCTGAAAAGAAGACCAGTTTTTTGATTTTATAAATACATAGAGATGTTTTTTTCATTTTATATAGTCTATTGCATCAATTGTTTTTCCATTTATTTAGAGTTTTCAGGTTTCCCAACAGAAACAATGAATTTTGGTTTCACTGTATTTTAACTGTTAAATTATTATTTAAATTTAATCTTTTAATGATTTAGTTTTAATCATTGTAAAGGCTTCTTCAAATGATAAGCTTTATATCATTCTTTCTTGAATGATATAAATTATTTGTGCACCAATGATATTTTTTCCACTGTGAAGTCCAATCTTAAAAAAATCATTGATCTTTCATATACAATTACTAATTTTAACTTCTAATGCTTGTTTCTGTAGCTATTTTATTGATTGAACAGATTGATAAAGTATTAATTAGGATTGTTAAAGAACTTTATTTATAAATTAAATAATAATAATATTTTACAAAATCAATAAATTATTTTTAAAATAGATGCGGACAGGGCTCGCAAACACGGAATGGATGAATTTATCTCTGCTGACCCATGCAATTTTAATCATCATGCATTATTTAGATTACTTCAAACCCAAGCATTGGAATATAGATTAGCTGATATATTCTGTTCCTTGGTAATTATAATTTAGTCAAACATTTATTTTGAATACTAATTTTCTTACTTATTTAACATTTTTTAAAACAGAATTATATACTTAAAAAATTAATATTTATATTACTAAGGTATTAAAACAAATATATATAAAATGTTGTTAAGACATACTGTCAATGTAGATCATAATATGAATTGTGACATATTGTAAGTTTGAAGCTTCTATCCTAAAACATTGTTAAAATTTGATGTTTTTAATTAATGATCAAAAGTGAATTTTTATAAAGTAGATAAAATATTTAATATAAATGCATTCTGATTGTTATTAAACACTATTTGTTTCATAGGGTTGGTACAGTCCAGGGCAATTGTTTGTTTTAGATGAATATACTGCTCGATATGGTGTACGAAGTTGTTATCGTCATTTATGTTATTTAAATGATCTATTAGATCGAGCAGAAAAAGGTATCATGATCGATCCAACTTTAATTCATTACAGTTTTGCATTTTGTGCCTCTCATGTACATGGAAACAGGTAAATATAAATTTCATTATTTAAAGTTTTGCATTTCAATTATACTGTTAGGTAATTTGTTAATATAGTATATGACAGTTCAAATATAAAAATTTAAATGCTTTGTGTAATAAGGAATTTAAGATAGAATTTTATTTGATTTTGATTAATAAATTCACTTAAACTCAATAAATGATCATTAATTTTTATTATCTTTTAAATTTAATAGAAGTTTCTGCTTTATGAAAACTACAATATTCAAAATATAAATTTAGATTTATTAAAATATCTGTTCATATTTCATGCATTCAATTTTATATAGTATACGTTTAAAAAAAAAACTAATTCATCATACAACACTACTTTCTTATAGTCATATGTGCGGAATACATCTTCATCTTTATGGAAATCAATTAATTTTTGTATGTTATTTTACAAGGATAATTGATAATTATTGATAACTCAACCTCAGTTTAAAGTACATTAGCAACAATTAGATTTTGTTTCTCTATAGTATATAATAAATCAATGCAATATTCAAAATCTAATATTTTATAGAACATTGACAATTTAAAACTATAGCCTGTAACTGTTCCTATCTGTCTTCATCTATCCCTCTCTATACTTTAGTATTACTTTATCCCTTCACAATAGACATTATCTGTAATTTTTATATTGCCAAAAAAGATCCTTTTTCTCTTTGCCCTCTCTCTCTCTTGCCCCAGCTATGCTAAAGATCTTTGAAATTTGTATACATTATTCCATATATTACCCTATTATATCTTGTATTAGCACAGCTACATTCTGGTATTATTCATCATTCTACTACTAGTAATCTTTTTGAAATTTAGCCTGTAATTTTATCTAAATTTGAATTAAAATTATCCACATTTGTCATTTATATAGACATAGCTAAAACTTTAGATTATGTTGCCCCAAACATCATCTCAAAAAATTATCCTTAGAATTTGAAATAGATAACATAATTCTGCCTTGACTTAATAACGTCCACATACTGTGCAACTACAAAATAGAATAATTTCATAATATTTTATTGATAAATACAAACAGATAAATTTTCAAAAATTTAGTTTTTAGGGAATCAAATCTGAGAGAATATCATCTGTGCAAAAATAAATTACAGGTAGAATTAAAAATAAAAATAAAATAATAATATTAAAAAAATAAACCTAATATATCATCTTAACTNATTATTCATCATTCTACTACTAGTAATCTTTTTGAAATTTAGCCTGTAATTTTATCTAAATTTGAATTAAAATTATCCACATTTGTCATTTATATAGACATAGCTAAAACTTTAGATTATGTTGCCCCAAACATCATCTCAAAAAATTATCCTTAGAATTTGAAATAGATAACATAATTCTGCCTTGACTTAATAACGTCCACATACTGTGCAACTACAAAATAGAATAATTTCATAATATTTTATTGATAAATACAAACAGATAAATTTTCAAAAATTTAGTTTTGAAGGAATCAAATCTGAGAGAATATCATCTGTGCAAAAATAAATTATAGGTAGAATTAAAAATAAAAATAAAATAATAATAATAAAAAAATTAACCTAATATATCATCTTAACTAAAAGTTATTTAATTTAAACTTTCAAGTTTAAAAGAATTATTAAAGATGACTATTTTATTACTATTATAAAATGTAAACATTTAATTAATTTATTTAACACAACCAATCAAACAACTTCCTTATTTACCTGTTCATAAAAATTGTTTCTTTGGAGTTTATATTTTTACTAGTACTTATTATGCAAGCATTTTTAGATTCCTGTAACGTATCTTCAGAAATATTAACAGTCAATATCAAAAATTACACAGTGTTTAAAAATCTTGCCATAAAGTAATCCTTAGAAAACAACCCATCTTTTTAACACATACACTCTTTTTTTACACAAAACTATTCCATTCTCCTTCCAAAAATATTTAATTATTTAGAAATTAAACATGAGATGATTAATCAGTAGTTTATTTTGGATTAATAATTAATACTAAATTTTGTTGATGCAGTTTTTATTCATTTTCAATACTTAGCTTCAGTTAGTGTATAAAATCTACACTTCTGCATTTCTTAGAGTAATTCATGTTGTTTTTAAATGTATAATTGCTACATCATTCAAATCATTTAATATGTTAAAAAAGTTTATTTAATGAATCAAAATAAATTATTCTAAATTAATACAGGCTTTAAAAATTGTATTTGCATTTTCAGTGTTTTTCTGATCTAATTATCAGCAGATACACAGATATTATAAAGTATTCAGATTATTAAAACAAGTATTTAGTGGAACATAATGAATATATTTTTATATAATACAGACTTTTAATCAACCAAGATACATAATTCATTTGTATAAACATTTCTGATTTACGATGGATTTGCATTAACTTAGCATCATATTAAAAATTCCAAAAACTAAACTGCTAAAGTAAAGAAACCAAAGCATTTATTAGAAATATTTTTAGACTGATTTTTAATCTAGCCTCAGTTCTCCATGTAGAAATGATGTCAGGCTGAATTAATCTGAAAACATTTCTAATAAATAAATATAAAGTTATTTTTGAAATCCCTGATTTAATATAATGTATAAGATGTCACATAAAAATAATTTGTTTAATGTTCTCTTAAAGAATAAGAAATTTATGATGATAAGTAAGAATAAATTAAAATTTAATGATGATAAAGAAAAATAACATTAGATTTGAACTGCCATATAAATTGAATTTGAAGAGTATGTTCAACATTTAACTTATTTAAGAATTGATGAATGTTTTAAACAATAATTATGCATTATACGATATTTAAAAAGATGTTAATTGAATAAAGAAAATATTTATTTTTTACATGGGTCATATCAATTATCACTTTTGATTAGAAGTTTTTCAAATTATGTTGAAAGTATTCTTTAAATTCTTGCAAAATATAATTTTGAAATAATGTAGCTAATATTGATTTATATAATATTTAAATTAAAATTACTAGTTCAATATATTTTAAAATCAGTCTAAAAAATTGACATTTTATTGAATTTTTAATATATATGAGTAATAATTAAAAAGCTTTTGTTTGAATTATACTTTGTTCTCACTATAAATCAACAACTTTTACTCTTTATATTTATTCAGATAATATAAAATTACAGTAATATATTTATTCTTCGTATTATGTTGATTTAATGTTGTGATTTTTTATATGACCTGTGCAATTGTGATTTAACTTGTCTGTACTTTGATATCATAAATATTACAATTTTATAATAATTATATAAAGTTTAATGTAATGAACAATTTGTACAATTACACTTTTTATGAATATATTACTAATGATCTTCTTTAATTATTACTTTATACATAAATATTACTATTTAAAATAGTGGCTAGCATCTTAATATTGTTGTGTTTATATTTTAATTAAAATATTAAAAACTCAATATGTAAGAATTTCTCATATGTAGTGTTATGAACTATTTTAAATAATTCAAATAAATTATATACATTAGGAAAAGTAAATACTGAATAAATTTGATTTAATTTAAAGATTAAAAAATTATAAAAAATATTTTAAAAATTTTCTCTGAGAGCTAATAAAATTTAATATCAGCTATATTTGCTATCTAAATACTTTTTCTTAGTTTAAAAATTTTGTTTAAATTACTTATTATCTTGAATTTTCCAATATATTTTTTTTTATTTACATAGTTTTTAAACAATTCATTCTTGAAAGTAAATAAATATTCAGCAATATTTTTCCAAGATATTTAAAATTATATATTCTATAAACTGCTAAATATCTCTTTCTGGAAAAGTAAAAGTTTTCTGAACTAATTCTCCAACTAATAATGAACCTTGGGAGTTTTCCCTCTTTTTTCCTTAAAGTGTAATACAAGTTATTTATTATCAAATACAAAATTATATTAAATTGTGCTTTCCTTTATTCTTTGGAAAGATGAATTTAGATATTTTTAAAATAGGCCTATTACTTTTCTGAAAAGAGAATATTATTATTTGCATTCTGTCTGGCTCTATTTAAAAATTAATAATATATTGATCATCATTGACAATATTAAATTTTTTATTGTGATTTTATTTACAGAATTTCATTAGTATTTCATATAACATGATTCTAATATTTACAAGGCTCAACTATTTTCTCTTACAAATGTTATGTTTCTAAAAATAATATACCGAAGATGATAATTTTATGGAAAAGTTAACTGTAATAGAAACCAAACTTTTATTAAATTTAATGAGAAATTTTTGGTTTAACAAATTAAGGTTGCTAACCATTATTTTATATTATAGATATATTTTGATAATGCAAAACCAAATATATAAAATTTTATCTAGATAAATGTAAGTAACTTACAAAAGATATATAAAATTTTAAATTTCAGTTAAACCAAGAAATGTAATAATTAAGGCATATTTAGTATTATGTAAGAATTTTGGATGGATGAAAATTAATATTTATTTGTATGGTATATTTTGATATAAAGAACATTTTATATTATATTCATAAAAGAAAATTTTATAATTTATTTTAAAGATGAAAATAACTCAAAATTATAATTACTAATATATTAATTTTTGAATACTTAAAAAATTGGATGAAGGTATAAAAATAAAAATCTGTAATGCAATTCAATGTTATGATAAAAATATAAAAGTACACAACTCTTTATTAAACATATATCAGAATTTAAAAAATAAATAAAATATCTTTATTGTAATATAATATTGATAAGTTTTTCTTATTGATTATTAATAGATTTTTTAATCAAATAAAATGCAGTTACTATTAATTGACTGGATTCTTTTTCTATTATGTCTTTAAAATATTTAGTTGAGTTATGTTCTTTATTTTTTATATTTTCATTTAATATTTTTAATATTACTTCTTGACTTTAATCATAAATTATTTCATGATACTTTGAAAAAATAAATTTATTTAGGCACGTTATTCAACTTTTTACATCCATTCAA